GAAAAATTATGATTTTCATAAAACTAACGGACCTATTCTGGTCACTTGACAGATTTGTCAAATTCTTTAATAAAATTTTTGATTTTTATAAAGCAGAAAGCTTTTTGGTATTCTGGACACATCTTGACAAATTTCAAAGCTCAAGTACCTAGTGCTTCTCACCACACTATGGTGTAAAGTGTTTTGTATAGAAAACTGTTCGTAATTGTTCGTAATTGTTCGTAACTGTTCGTAAAAAATGCTTGTAAAGAGCACATATTTTAAGTTGCCAAAAGCATTTTTCATGCATTCAATTAACAATAAAAAATATGCTTGTAAAGAGCGTATATTTTATTTAAGAATATTTGTCATGCATGTAAAAAATGAAAAATGCTTAAAAAGAGCATATTTTTAAAGTTGTCAAATGCATTTGTAGTATTCAACACACCATAATTGATTACGAAACATGTGTCGGCCAAAAAAGTGTTAGTATCACCTTTTAGGTTCATAAGGAATTTGATTTGTAGATTACTTCTAAACCGACAAATCAATAAACTCCATAAAGATACTATAAGGATACATTCTTTAGCTACTAGCTTCGTGAAAATATGATATTTCCAAAAAAATCATTTTCCATCAAGACACTGCACCTGTTCACAAAGCTCTAAAAACCATCCTTAAACATTGAATTAAAGTCCGAATTGTTATAATTACCAGCCCATTCATTAAACTTAGGTCCATCTAAAAAATAATATAAGGAAAATTTTGAGAGTCTGATTAAACAAGACGTTTTGGTGTTTATAATTAAAAAAAATTAAGTTAAGGAAGTGTTTGTGTACTTAAGCGTTCTTTCTAGGTCACTCTAATGTTTTTAGTAAAAACTTCAATAGATTATTTTTTCAATGATCCCTTTTGACTGATTGTGGAAACGAGCATGCAATTTTGCTAATTTAACTGTATCAAATTATTACTTTCAGTTTCTATCAGTTACAACCGCATAAATATTCCAGTACTATATTTTTGTAAAATAAAGGAATTCTTCCATCACTATTTCCATTTAAAAAATAGTGTATGGAAATCTACAGTTAACAATGAATAGATGTAGGCAAATTAACACCGCGTTATCGAATCTCGGCATGGTTACAGGCTTCTCAGGAGGTATGCAGATCTGAGGTCAATTATTGCTTAGTCTGATGAAGTGTTAAACAATAATCCAGGCAAGGCATAAAGAGGGGTTTTGAAGATAGTTCCCAGTTAATACAGAGTTAAAGTGCTCAAGTGCACTGACTCAAATAGCTTTAACATAATAATAAAATATAGCTTATTTCTACAAGCTGATATATTATATTAATATATATTTATTATAAATTATATATTGTTTCAAAATAACATTTTATTTTTAACATTTACATTTCATGCAAAATATATATTATTTTATTATTCAGTAACGACCGAAAAATTTTGAAATAAGCATTTTACTTTTTCAGTTTTATGTACTTTTACTTCATCCCTTAAGGATTTAAAATTATTGATGTATATATTAAAGCAGTGTTAATCATTATGGTCAAAGTTTCCTCACCGATATTTTTAAGTGGATAAATCATCATATCACCGCTTCTTGAACACTTTTCATTAGACCGACAAAATTCATTACTGATGTTATTACCTTTATTGCAGCAGTTTCTATCGTATCTAGTTTAAGGTTGAAATTAATGGTAATATTTTTTAATGATTTCCTAGTGAATAAATAACTGGAGATGAAGCAGATTTTTTGCAGTTAATATCTTTTGTTGTCGAGGTGTTAATAACAGACAATTTCCAGTTTCGAGCACCTGTAGTGGAGTCAATACTTTAGTGATTGGCAAAATTGATCCTGTTATAACGACTTGATATTCAGGATATCTTCCAGTATTTTTCCATGCTACTAAAGTCATATTAGTTGGATATTTACCAGTTTCTAGGCCAGACACCCAAATGAGAAGAAATTTCAGATCGCTATTTTGTTTTATTTCTTCTGACTGCATTATATCACTTAAACGAAGAACTGAGGTCATTATTAGCAGAGGTAAGGAATCGTTATATGTATTATGTCCTAATTCAGTAATTCTTTCCTGCAAAAGAAAGAGCATTCGAACTTTAGGAACATCAACGAAAGCAACACGTACATCAATAAAGAAATTTTTAACATTTCTTGGATACACACGTTCCATTGGTAGATGATTATGATCTACTAGCAAATGCTTTGTAAAATCGGATAAAAATGTCTTGTATATGCAATCAGTATCTGGACAAGAAATCGGGCTACGCCATAAGTTCATTTCGTAGGAAGACATATTATTTGGCATAACACGTTCTTTTACTAATCTAGAAAGAGTGGCAGGATCATTGGATGGATGACTTATAATTCTAAATTGCCATGATGCAGGAGTTTGATCAATGAGATCACTATTCATGAATCTAACAAACGGACCCGCACAAGGATTATAATAAGCCCTTACTGCACGGGATACTAGTTTAGCTATATTCTTATGATCACAATTATTTTCAACATCATGACGAATGTGACATGTCAATTTTTGCTGTCTTATATTTAATTCCTCAATAACTTTTGAATATCTATCGAAAAGATGCTTAGCTTCGATTTTTATTATTTCTTCATCAGTTCGCTTTGTTTCTTCCATATCTGTCCTAACCGTTGCCATTTGGAACATTGGCTTTTTAATAACAGTTATTTCATTAGGTCTGTGTGACTCTTTAATTATTTCATCATCTACAGCATCTTCATTCATTGTTTTTAATATTGCTCCCATACGTTTATCCATAATCTCCTCTGCACATTTCTCGGACTTTGTTGAAATGCAGTGCTCTTCAGTTAATTCATGCAAGACCAGAATTTTTCTTTGATTTATTATTTGTTCTTCTCCCACATTTAAACTTGGAGCCGAGTCTGTGGAAACACTAATGGATCGTTGTTCCCTGAACTTAAAATTATTACACTCTGCTCTGTAACAAATTTTATCTTGAAGTACAGAACTTGCATTTTCTAAATAATTATTTAGACTGTCACTAACATTACAAGCTTCATACTCAGGTATCACAATAGAACTCTGAAAATATTACAAAGAATTAAAAGTGAAAAAGTATATTAGAAATTTCTTACCTCGGTGGAACTAGTATCGTAATTTGTGCTGAGTTTTATATTTTCCATACAGACATCAGACTTGGTTTCCGTTCTACTCGTCATAAACAACAATGTTACATTATCTGACAATGCTTCTTCGATTTTATCAATTTTCTGCACACTATCGACTTTATTGTCCACGGCAGTTATTTTTGCTTCTTTTGATTCGGGATCAGCTGTGGGCTTGGCTG